TCAGGTGCACGCACATAAAAACTGGTAAAAAAAAATTTTAGCGGACAATTTTGTCCGCTAGACGGTTTAAGGGATAAACAATCGAAAAGCTTTACAGCGAAACTAATCGCAAATGCTGCTAATTCCAACATACAATGGCAGAGAAGACAAAATCCATGGCCAATCACACACAGATCTGAAGGACATACAATTAACCCCTTTATACATCAATTAAAGAACGCAACAAAGGTCAAACAGCAACTTAACACTCATGGGATAAGCGACGTAGAACAATTCCTTAACTTCAACAATACAGAGACAGTCAGTTGGATACAATTTCACCATAACATTGGCAAGATCCCACGGGGGAAAATACCTCAGTGGTTTTCCAAATTAACCCAACTGATACGGGAATCGATTAACCAACTAAACGATCTGACTTATCCTAACCCTTATATCTGGAAACAACAAATCAAAAAGAAGAAATGGATAATCACAAGTGACTTAAAATTTGGGAGAATCACATCACAGACAAATAATCACTACAAAATAAGGCATTGGAAATTTGACCAAACTACTAACTTACTCCAAAACTGCAAGAAATGCAGTCTTCATGACCCAACTACACAAAACAGCTACTGTTCATTTTGGAAACCAGTCAATAGTGCATTTAGGATTCAAGTCGACTCAAAAAAACAATGGCATGGAACAATAGACAACTTTATACAAAAACTGAAAGAACCCAAAAAACCGGGCAACCAACAATGCTTCACCCCACATCGCCATAGAGCCAATAGACAACTAACGTTAGCCTTTGGCCAACACTATGAACTAATCTGGGACCTATACCTCAACTGCCCACCACAAACAGAGACCACCGCCAACCTTATCATATCTTCGATCAAACAAACACCATTCAGTATCCCAACCTGCACCATTGAATCACCAACTACAAATACGCAACTGAACATCCAAAATAACTACTGGCCTAGTATAGCAAATGTGGCATATACGGCACTACTTGTACTTATTACAATTGTACCGAATAACACCCAAATAAAAATCTCAACAAACTCATCAACGTTAGCTAACTTGAGCAACCTAGTGAATGACACAGCACCGACAACGCTAAATATTTATCAATAACAATCTCACGGAAAAAATTCACAAGCAAAGCCAACCAACAATTACAAAAGCTTCAAGTTGAACTAGATACAAACCAATTAAACACGATATATTATCAACCGATTTACTACAACATACCAACCTTCACCAACGCCAAAGAACTAATCAAACAAACGAATATTGTGATTAATACTAACAAATTCATATTACAAAATAGAGTTCAAAATTGGAATGCTCACCATAATATCGATTGGAACCTAACATTCGACTACCTAGAGATGAAAGATAAACCTACAAGCCGAAGTACTGACCCCAAGTTGTCAAAAATAAAGAACTTCAAAATCAAACTACTCATGCAAGAACTCCCTAACTACCATAACTTATACACTCGTCACCCTTCGAAATACCTATCGCCGGAATGCCGAAGATGCGGTCACTCAGTGGAGGATGACCCCCACTGGCTAACGTGTGAAAAAAATGAGAAAAAAATCGAAGATTTAATAGCTAATTTACTGAACAAATTTACTAACAAATTCAATTTGACAACTAGAAACCAAAGTGACTACATAAATAAATTTACACTCAGCTACATAAGCAAGAAGTTACCGGTAGGAGCTATCCATGCGGAAGGACTACCACCGTTCTCAACAACATCCAACGCTAGACTCTTCGCACCTCAATTTTACCACGAACTCACTGAAGACATACATAGATTAATATGGCTCCCAAGCAGAATCCAAAGCCAGACAAATACAAATATTACTCCTAAAACTAACAATCCTATAACACAGAATCCAATTATCCCTAGTGTAGTAAACAATAATAGATTTACAACATGGATTAATTCATATATCCATCATAATGCAGACACTCGACAATTCTAATTTCATAAGTCTAGAGGCTGTAACCCTACTAGCATACTTAGGTCCGAAGTAAAATAGCTTATCCCTTATATCCCTAATATAATTATGTATAACGATAACATGTATCCCAACACATAATAAACTAATAAAGGAAATGAGGAAAGGACCTCGTAATTAAAAAAAAAATAAAAATAAAAATAAATATGCGATATTTTTAAATTATCATTATAGTTAATAAAATTGTAAATATTATTGTTATGATCGGATATAGGAAAATACTTCAAATCACTGTTCAAATACATATCGATATAAAGAATCACCTCGTTTTTTTTAACGCCAATTAGATATCTGTAAAAAAGGATATCGGATAATGTGATCCGAATTAAATCAGATTCGGATATATCCGTTTAAATAATATCTGCGTTAAATCCGGATATAGTCATTCGGATCGCTACTCTAATAGAACTAACATTACTTACCCTAATGCTAATTCTGACATTCGTTTATAGGGTGATTCAAAGTTAACTTATTTCAAAAACAAATAGGGGTTTAAAACGTCCTATTTCTATTTTGAAAATTTGAAATCAGAAAATGAAATAGGTGATATTCGGAGATGAAATGAGTAGCCTTTTTTTGTTTTTGATAAAATAAAATATTGTTATTGTATGATGTAGTTAATTAAGAAAATTCACGATCGAAAAAAAGTATTATATAAATAAGCTTACAAATCAAAATATATAAAATTTTACGAATCAAAATAATTACGTCACTAATATAATTCGAAATCGGAACCCATGAGCATTAGGTTTGAATCACCCTAACGCAAATTACTGTGGTGTTCCTTAATGCAAATTAATGGTGGAAATAGGGGTTCCTTAACTTTATATAACTAGTATTTTTTTTTCATCCGAAATCGTCTCTCAATTATAAAGAGAAATGAATAATCTAAATATATTTAAGATCATTGGGGCCGTTGATATAAATATTGTTACTGATATAATATAAGGTTAGATGATCACAGCTTACACTATTTTTTAAGGTTAATTAAACGCATGATGTTAACGGTATACAACTAACAGCATCCGTACAAACCGATAGCAAATTGAGCGAATTTGCTCATATAAAATTTTATTTGGGCAAATTTCATATGTCTGTTCAAAATGAAATTATTATTGACATAGTCCAAATGCCAATCTGGTAATGATGTTTTTTAAATTTCAAATCTATATTCAATTAAAAAAAATTGCTTATTGTTAAAACTGACATCCGGATATATACCATAATGGTTCTTGGAGCGTCGATGTGAAACTACTAATTTTAACTTCCTATAAACTTAATAACTACTAGAACACTTGGTTTAATTCTAGTGTCACACAAATCCCTATAAATTCTATAAATTGGACGCACGTTCTTATTATATGTACGTGCAATACATTGCCAATATAAACAAATACGCAATTAGGAAACTTTTGCTACGATACAAGCTAAACGTATAAAGTTATAAAAATTTTCAATTATAGTTTGCTTTAATAATTTTTCCCCTTGTCGAATTTAAACTTTCCCTGACCTTCCCTCCCTCCCTTTTATTACCTTCATTTCTTTCGCTCGTTCTTTCCTTCCTGAATAAATATTTGATAAATTCATTCAAAAAATTATTCAGACTATTTAAATTACTTCAACATGGATTTCATCATACACGAAATAAAACGAAATTCGAATGATTCAATGATATTTGTTCATTTCGTTTTAACCACCCTAAGTTTCATATCTTGCCTCGAAATTTTTTGGCAAATTTTTGAATTAAAATATATAAAAAACAAAGTTTTAGGATTGGACATGAAATTTTGTTTATATCTTACTATAACTCGTATGTATCTTTATGAAAAAAAAATTTTTTTAGGAGGTCGTATTCAAAGTATTAATATATTTCTTTGAAAATTATCGATTAGATTTTCTTTACTCTGTGTCTCAAATGTCTAATTTAGTATGTTAATTTATTATTTCTTAATAATCATTTAATATGATTTCTCAATGTCACTTATTAATTAAGACAATATTTTGAAAAAAAGATTATTATTAGAGTAAACGCAATTACCGAACCATCATTATCATGTGATATCGGAGGAGAAATTTCTCCAACATTTTTAACAATGAATTTATTTTCTATTGTTATCTTTGCTTTTGATACTATTTGGAAAAATTTTTTGAGAATTGACTCTCAAAGATTCCGGATTATATTATGGAGTACTATATTTGCGGTTTCTTGGATTGCATCTACTTTTGGATTGAATAGATATGCCCCTTTAGAATTATGGTAAGGTTTTGCAATATAATTATTGATTTTTACTATAGCAATTGCTTTATGACTTATTTTTAAAAAAAAAATTTAGGTGCGCTAGAAGATTATACACACCACTCACCGATTACATGAATTTGAGCCTTATAATGACATGTATTATAAGTGCGATTTCATTATATTTTCAACTGAATTCTACAAAATCGCACGATCTTGCTAGTTCTTACTCGATAACCTTTATTTCCGGTTTAATTTTGGTTTACATCTTTCAATGGGTAAATCTTATTATGCTTTATTATGCTTTATTATGCTTTATCATGCTTTATTATTTATTAAAATATTCACATCTCCTTTCTTTAATAGCTATGCTTCCTTTTTAGCAATATTTTATTAACTCTCAATTTGGAGAATAGCTCTGCTGTGCGTTAACTCTCTAACTTTCTGATATATATATATTTAAATATATACTATTTATTTTTATTAATTTATGCTACTTAATTTTTTTTTTCTAGACATTTCAAACCTTTTTCTCTGTCGTTTTGTTCATAGGTAAGTTTAATCACAAATAATTCACGAAATATATATATTTTTTACCGACACAACTTTTAACAATTATCAATACAAATTTTAGGTGCACATTGTGGAGCAATATTTAACTCTATATTACTTTCGATAAAGAAATTTTGTGATAGAGATCTTGATGATGATGAAACCAATAACATAGAAAAAGATACCAACTATACCGCTTCCAATATAAATAATGAAAATGAAAAGGTTAATGATACAAATTCCACTAAATTGGTTCTTACTTCAGCGAAATCATATGGAACCATGTATAATTAAAATAATAATTAGATAAATTTAAATAAAGAAAATGTAGATAGATTGATGTGATCTCTTCGTATCTCTTATTGTATTTAATCAATACGGTTTTGTGAACATAGAGCAATAAAAAAATAAATACCGGGAAATAAATTTAATTTAACATCTGATTTATTAAGTTTTGTGTGTACATACTGTATACTCTTTTGTATTATAATTATCTAAAAAGATTACTTGGAATATATTGTACGAAAAATTTTCTACAAATACCGTTCCTGATGAGATGATTACGTACGAAATATAAAACTATGACGTAAAAATTTGGTAGCCGATTATAAGACTAACACGTAACATGTCCATGGCGTTACATAATTCATAATTAATTTAACAGAATACACTGAATTAATTATTAGCTCTCTTCAAATTACGTGTCTCGAATAAACGTGGTCTCAGGTAATATATGAAGATTATTAATTTCTGATTTTTTATAGGCCATATATTTAAGTTTTAAATTAAATTTACATTTATTAGCACAAGTATCTAACAAAAATATATATAATTTTTTTTTTAACTTGAAGCTCTCAACTAGCTCTATATGGTAATAAAGCTATTTTTTAAATAAAAATTTCGTAAAAATTAATTAATTATTTAATATTTATATAATAATTGAACGATTTTTATAAACTATTGAAAAAAGTAGTTCTATTACCATGTAGAGCTAGCTAGTCGAGAGCTTCAAGTTCAAAAAAAATTTTATAAACTTTCGTTAGATATATGTGCTGATAAATGTAATTATTTTTATAATCATCTATATAGTACAAATCGTCGAAAAAATTGATTAAACGATAATATCAAAGTTTAACCATTACTAGGCGCCACCCTAGCGTTACGTCGCGTAAATATGATATCGTATTATTTTAAGGATAAGTCGAAAATCAACGTTATGGACTAATCAAGGATCATGACTTTAGCTTTCCTATTATAATTAATCATTGTCATGAGAAAATTGGCTTCGGGTTCCTTTAGGAACACCATCAACGTAAAGTTTTCATTCCACCAGGAACGGTACTTATAAAAAAAAAAATTATAACTATCGTATACTTACTTATCTTTATCTGTCCAATGAAAATGTAAGACACTATGAATTAAGTTAATAATGTGATTAATTACTTTAAGGATTGTTCTCTCACTTATTGAGTCACAAGAATTTAAATAATTAGATCACAAGAGTTTAAATGATTAGATAACAAGCGTTTAAATAATTAAGTTCTTATTGCATTTAAATTTTATAGCAGCTTTAACCCAGCTATAAGAAAATACATACTGTATTTCGCGTAATAACGCTCACCTGCGCGTTATTTCGAGTACACGCATGAACGTTATTTTGAGACAATTAACAAATTTTATGTAATTCTTGTATAAAAATAAACAAACAAAAATATTAGATTTAGTACTAAGTAACCTTTCTTCGAGCTTTAATAAAAGTTGATCTGAAAAACAACTTTTGTTGAAGTTCGAAGGTTTGCTTAGTATTAAATCCAGTTTCGAAGTATTTTTAAATCTTACTATAAATAAACATCCTTACTATGGGGTGCGCGCTATTTTGGGACGCGCATGAGCGTTATTTTGAAACTATATATATTATTTTTAGGGGACACGATTTTCGAAATAACGAAAAAGTGTGGAATCGATGAAGAATTATTCGAACATTGATCAAAAATTTTGTGCATCGAAATAATTGAGTTTTTAATTTGAACATTGGTATTTAATATTTGTTTTGATAATGATAAATTTTTTAATGTTACATTAAATTTTCTATATATGTTTTTGATATTTTAAAAAACGCATGAACATTCAAATTTTGACAAACCGATGGTCAAAATTATTAAACAATGCTCGAAACTCATTGATTCCAAGCTCTAAATAAATAAAAGCATTTTAATTTAAAAAGTACATTCGTTCATAAAATTTTTTTAAAAAAAACTTAATCAGCCAGATTATGAAAACAAACTAATTAAAATTTATAATCATATTAAGTGTGAAATTAACTAAGAATTTTGCTTACATCTATAAATGTTTCTCTTCAAGCATTCGTTCTTGCATCCTTGAGCTTTTTTTAATACGTTGAGATCTCTCAAAAGTAAAATGCTCAAAGATCAGATCATTAATAGAACGAGCCCGAGATATTACTATAAATAATATACCAGCTGCAAACTCTCTTTCTCCAAGGCTTACTATAGCTTATATAAAGTTAGATCTTGACTTATGCAAGTATTAGAGGAACTTGTAAACGTGAGCATGTGGCGAATTTCCCATCCCATGTTCTTATAATAGGAGCAATTGGTAAAAGTCAAATTTAAAGAACGATAAATCATAGACTTTTAAGTGTTAGTAATTAAAAGTTAAGCTTGACGATATTTCATATACTAAGTGACAATAACTATAATTATTATCGATTGGACGAAATAGTAATTTGGAAAAAATTTTTTTATTCTACACCCAGAATCCAAGTTAAATTGGAAGCTAATGGTAATTTGGAAAATTTCCTTATCCTACATTCGGAATTTTTTTCTTGCCTATTGTCTGGACTTAAGTTCCTCCGCTCTGCTCCGGAAATTATTCAAAAAAGTGTTTATATAATAATAATAATAATAATAATAATAATAATAATAATAATAATAATAATAATAAAATAATGTTATTATTATTATTATTTCAAATTATTAACATTCCGCAATGTATTAAAAAAAAAGATCATTACAAAGTATATACTGTGATTACTAATTGTTAATTGTTTTATTGGTCACTTAAAAGTCTTCCTAAAAAAATTGCGTTAGACCAATATAAGTATATTATTACAAAAAAAAGTTAAGAGTAACATTTTATAAATTATTTTTACTGTATTAAAGTTAAAAATTCATAATTATTGTACCTTCCCAATTCAGATTTATTATAGATGAAAGAATTATTATACAATGATAATAACTTAATAGTTATTTTTTTTTAAATTATCAAAAAATCCCGCCCAAAAATGTTGACTATCCAATTAATTCTAAAACATTTTCTAAAAGAAAACAAAAAATTAATCATTCTTGATTCATAATCAAGGAATTATAATTTTGTAATTCTAATTAATGCATACGAAAAATCATAACCAATAAAGTAACATAAGTGAACATGCTGATAAGTCCAGTTATAACTACATATTTACCAGCTGTTTTAAATGGTTTAGATTGATCTAAAACATCTATGTTATGTCGTCGTCTGAGCATAGAGATGCCTAAAAGTGAACCTCCGAATAATATAAATACCATGCCAATAAAATAAAATTCTGGTTGAAATAATCGAAGAATTAATAAAGCAAAACTAAATGCGGAGATACATGTACGCATGTATGCTCCTTCAAATGTTCTTTGACGAGCTATTAAATATAATATGGTGTGGTTAGAAGATAAAACTAAACATATTAGATTGGAAAAAATAAAATGGTTTACTAAATACCTCTATTTAATGTATTACAAAATTGACAAAGGAAGAGAAAAAAAGGTTAAAAAGAAAAAAAAAATTCAACTCAAAGCATCCGAAAGCTTTTTTTTTTACCTTATTTCAACTAATTCTTTCTCATTTAAAACAATCCTTCCAGTTTTATAATCTTCTCGAATATGTTCACTCATCATTACGGCCTTTTTTTTTTATGTTTTTATGCTTTTACGCTCTATGTTTTTTTCGTTTTATACTTTTTAGTTTATGTTTATTTCGTTAATGAGTAAAAATTTAAATTTTTCTATGGTAGAAACCTAATAAATGTTTCACCAAAAATCCAGCCTATACTATGCGTTATATATTGATATCGTAATTACACTACATACCGTTACTTAAAAAACAATAAACAAGCGAATAATAGGCGCTTTTTTATATTTTTAACTAACAAATATGACAATTTCGTGTAACTGCACGCCGATTTTGTCCTATCGCTATGTACTGTACATATAAAAATAGTAATAGTAAATTTAATGTTTGAACCGGAAATAAAAAATTATCTCTCGTTTAGAAATTAGCTTCTCACATTTCGGTTTGACCTCTTTAACACTTTTTGATTGACCATTTCCCTTTAAAAAGGTTGTATTACTTGCAAAAAATGTACGTACGTACGTACGTACTACATAACTACATAACAATCAAGCTACTTACGTATTGATCAGTGATCAGATTTGCATCAACTAGAATTTGTACCTTTATGTATAAGAATTACCCGGGTAACCTGTCAATCGGGTCATAGCTATCGCTAACCGGGTGATCCGGATTAATTATCCATAAACGTGATAATGCTATTAACTGTCAAACACGATGCGTATTTATATGTATAGAAACTTTTAAATGATTGACTAACGTATATCTTTTATGAGTTCTTTTATGTGATTATAAATCTAGATCATTCTTCTTTTAATTGCTCTTATATAGATTTTCTTTTATCTTATAATTAAGAATTACTATATCAGTTCTTTAAAAACTATACGAGTGAAGTGATTTCCGATTTTGCATCAGCCAATCAGGTTAACCTAAGATGACTCGGATAATAATTTTGACGGGTGACGGTACAACCTTTAGCATCAACCAATCAGAATTATGCCCTTTTATAATAAATATATATAATACTGTATTATAAAATTCTCAATAAAATCCTCAAACTTTTACGCGTCATGCCTGTTAAAAACACAACATGGTGAAAACAAATTGTGAAAAATAACTACGGTCCAGTGTAATCAAAAAAGATCAAGAACACTCTCGACACCACTTTAAACGCTTTATGCGACGTCCTCTAGAAATTACCTGCAAGCCTCTATATTACTTGCTTTATGATATTTTTATATAATGATTCTCAAGCCCACAAAAAAGAAGACTTTGTGATGCAAACTTTGGGAAAATAATGGAACTCACCCTTAATATTCTTGGAAAGTTAAGAAAAAATATTAAGATGGAAAAAAAAACTTCAGCTTCATAAATTTACTCAATTTATGAATTTGATATTCGATGTAGTAAGTATAGAGCTTTGAATTTTTATTACATGATAGAACTGTTATTTTAACTGTTAATAAGCCAATGCTTTGCTCGTTTGGTATCTACAGAATTTATAAATGAAAATCAAGAATGAAAAAACAATAGGCTCCTATATTGCAACACGTGGAGCAGGCCTGTTCAAGTTCATGACTAAATATGAGAAATAGAAGACCGTGAAGGAATTTGTCACCAAATATAGGCATATATGCGTAATAATTTTATACAGTCAGTAGCGCAGGTGGGCAAGTAAGTTCTTGCACGCTTTTAAGTCATGCCGTCAAGAGCTTTCTCTTGGTCAGGGTGGCAGTGCATCTCAGTCAGTGATTTTACAATTGCTAGGTGGGATTAAAACAGAGCACTAAAAAAAAAGATTATTGTTGGGATCTGGCCATTGATGATACTAGAGATGGGTCCCGAAACCCAAACCATCCTAAACCCTTTAGGTTTAGGCTATAGTATTAGCTAGTTTTAATTATAATATTTTTTGCCTAAATCCCAAATCCTAAATCCGAAACTAAAACTCAAAATCCCAAACTGATGCAGAAATCCCAAACTGATGCTAAATTCCAAACTGATGCTGAAATCCCAAACTGATGCCGAAATCCCAAACTAATGCCGAAATCCCAAACTGATGTCAAAATCCCAAACTGATGCCGAAATTCTAAACCAATACCGAAATCCCAAACCAATACCGAAATCATAAACTAATATCAAAATCCAAAATTATATCAATATATATAAAATTCATATATATGCTAACTTATATAATATATACTCTAGTATTTTGATATTGATTTGGGATTTTGGTATTAGTTTGGGATTTCGGCATTAGTTTGGGATTTCGGCATTAGTTTGGGATTTTGGCATTAGTTTGGGATTTAGAAATTAGGTTGGGATTTCGAAAGCTGTTTGGGATTTCGGCATTAGTTTGGGATTCGGCAGCAGTTTGGGATTTTGGCATCAGTTTGGGATTTTGGAACTGGTTTAGGGTTTCGCAACTTATAGCCGAAACCCGAAACCTTTCGGCCCAAGCAAATAGGTTTCGGGTCACAACTCTAGATGATACCCTTTATAATGAACTTTTAAACATACTTAATGGTGCTGATTCTCAAGTATATAGTATTAATACTTCAAAATAAATACTATCAATAATAAAAATTTAATTTGTTATGTTTCAGTAAATGCCTGAAGACGCAATTGTGGTTAGGGATGTTACAGTCCGGCAAAAACCGCGGTCCGAACCAGTCTTTTGAACTGGTCCAAGCAGTCCACGGTTCGTAAATTAGGACCGGTCCAAATCGGTCAGTCCAT